AATTCATTTCAAAAACCATGTCACTCATTTTTGTACCTTTTATTTCATCACATCTGCTTAACTGAAGTCCATAAATTCTTGCCTTATCGTGCATATCAAAATTCTGTAGTCAGATTGCTTATTGAAAGTAGTGAGTAGAATACATATGTGATTACACAAACAAATATGCATAGCTTTTTTGCTTTAATTGTGGTCTTTTGAAAGCTGAGGTTTTAGAGCTACCTCATGAGCAGTCAGTTCTGTAGATTTCTTTTTAATCTTTTTTTTTTCTTTTAGGAAGATTAGCCCTGAGCTAACATCTGCCACCCATCCTTCTCTTTTTGCTGAGGAACACTGGCCCTGAGCTAACATCCGTGCCTATCTTCCTCTGCTCTATATGTGGGGCACCTGCCACAGCATGGCTTGACAAGTGGTGCCATGTCCACACCTGGGATCCGAACTGCTGAACCCGGAGCTGCTGAAGTGGAACGTGGGAACTTAACTGCTGTGCCACCGGGCCGACCCCAGTTGTATAGATTTGTATAATAATGTGAGTTATGTCACTGGCAAGCCAGTATATTTTCCATCCTAATTTTTCAAGTATGTGTCTATTAGAGGTGAAATACATGGAAAGCTTATGAAACAGAATGTGCCCATTTAAAAAGATACTGCATTAAGTTGTATTTGTAGCAGGTTATAATTTATGTATGTTTTAGTTCAGGTTATTGATAAACTGTGATTTTGTTCATTCAGTTTATTCTAGAAGGTCACAAGAGGATTTTAGCTTTTAAAATAAGAATTCATAGGGCTGGCCCCATGGCATAGTGGTTAAAGTTCGGCGAGCTCCCCTTCAGTGGCCTGGGTTCACGGGCTGAGATCCCAGGCGGGGACCGACTCCACTAATCAGCCAAGCTGTGATGGTGACCCACATGCAACGATATCTCCTTTTCTTTAAGTCTTAAGCACATAGGAAGGGAAGTAAACAGATGGAGAAATTTTGTCGTCCATAATATAGCTTCCTGGTGCATTTCACCGGCAGAAGCAAGGTCACTGCCTGTATTCTCCTTTCAAGGGAGTCTGTATTTCAAGGTTTTCTGGCCTCTGCTTTGGAGAAGGCAAGACTCACAATGTGGGAAATTACCTAGACGCTAGACAGCTACATGTGACAAATGGTTGCAATAGAATTCATATTAATTTTATTAACCACTTTTTTAATATTTTTCCATATAAGAAGAGCATGTAATATGAATTTTTTCTTAGCTAGTGTGAGAATATTTACCTTCTTCTTTTTATCATAATAGATTCTCAACAAATTTTGAATGAATAATAATACTTAAAATTTATTGAGTGCTCCTTGTGGAATGGGCTGTTCCAAGTGAATACGTTAAGTAATCGATAGAAACTGAGCCAAAAGACTTGACTTAGAAGGTTGTGCACATTTGATTTAGATAAGACGACAGAACTACTTAGAAGGGGAAGGGTCATGATGTGTTGGGGTCTTCGGTTCTGAGCTGTAAGTGGGTAGGTGCTCCAGATTTTAAGAGATTTGGAAGAGAATGCTTAGAATGACCACTTTTGAGTAATTATGAGGAATGGGAGGGGAGAGAGGTAGGATATTATAGGCCCACTTAAAAATTCACTTATAGTGCTAGCAGTTAATACAGTGACTGGAAAATAATAAATGCTCAACAAACTTTTGTTTTTTAAAAAAACAACTTTTGAAAATTGTGGTAAAATGTACATAACATAAAATTAACCATTTAAGTAGTTTTAAGTGTATAATTCAGTGGCATTAAGTGCATTTACTTTGTTGTGCAACCAGCAGCACTCCAGAACTTTCTCATCATCTCAGTCTGAAGCACTGCACCCATTAGCAGCTCCTCGGTACTTCCTCCTCCAGCCCCTGGCAACCACCATTTCACTTTCGGTTTCTATAAATTTGGCAGTTCTAGATACCTCATGTAAGTGGTATCGTATGGTATTTGTCCTTGGGTATCTGGTTTATTTCACTTACCATAATGTTTTCAAGGTTCATCCGTGTTGTAGCATGTGCCAGAATTTCATTCCTTTTTTAACACTGAATTTGTTTATGTTTGTTTGTCAGTGGACCTTTGAGTTGTTTCCATCTTACAGCTATTGTGAATAATAGTATTGCTGTGAACACTGGTGCACAAATTTCTGTTTGAGTCTCTGTTTTCGTTTCTTTTGGGTATATACCTAGAAGTGGAATTGCTAGGTCATCAGGTCATTCTACATTTAGGTGTCTGAGGAGCCATCATACTGTTTTCCACAGTTACATTCCCACCAGCGATGCACAAGGGTTCCAATTTCTCCACATCCTTGCCAACACTCACTCTGTTCTGTATTTTTTTAATAATAGCCATGCTACAGGATATGAAGTGGTATCTTATTGTGGTTCTGATTGTATTTTCCTAATGATGAGTGATATTGGACATCTTCTGATATGCTTATTGGCCATTAGTATATATTCTTTGGAGAAATATCTATTCAGGTCCTTTGCCCATTAAAAATTTTTTATTGATGAGTTTTGTGAATTCTGTATATATTCTGGATATTAATCGCTTATTTGATATGATCTGTAAATATTTCTCCCATTCCACAGGTTGTCTTTTCATTCTCTTGATAGTATCTTTTGATGCACAAAAATTTTCACCTTTGATGAGGTCCAGTTTATCTACTTTTTCTATTCGTTGTTGCCAATCCAGTGTCATGAGTCTTTTCACCTATAGAGTTTTATAGTTTTAGTTGTTATATAAAGGTCTTTGATCCATTTTGAGCTAATTTTTGTATATAGCATAAGGTAAGGGACTAACTTTATTCTTTTGGGTGTGGATATCTGGTTTTCCCAGGACCGTTTTTTGAATGAATACACTTTAAGTGTTTTTATTGAACTATAAAATGCACAAAAAAGTATGTGTATCATAAGAATACAGCTCCATAGATTTTTATAAAGTTGAACACATTATGAACACCAGCACCCAGATCAAGAAATAACCTTACCGGGACCCTGGAAGCCCCCGGCTTGCCCTCCTGGTCACTCCCCCAGTGCCCCACCTCACTGATGATGATTGCTTTCCATAGGTTAGTTTTGCCGGTTATTGAGTTTATATCTGTCAAATCAGACTATGTATTATTTCATGTCTGGATTCTTTTGCTTAGCATATTGTCTGTGAGATTTATCCATGTTATTCTATATAGCGGTAGTTTTTTAAAAATTATGTAATATTCTATTGTATGAATATACTACAATTTATTTGTTCTCCTATATATGGGCATTTTGATTATTTCCCATTGGAGATATCAGGAATAGTGCTGCTGTGGACGTTCTTGTACTTGTCCTTGGGTGAATATCTTCATTTTCTTTGGATGTATATACCTAGGCGTAGAATTGCTAGGTCCCAGGAAATGTCTACGTTCAGTCTTAGTTGTTACTTGCAGCTGGTTTTCTAAGGTGGTGATACTAATTTGCGTGCCTGCTGGTGGGAGGTGAGAGTTCTAGTTGCTGCACGTCTTGTCTAGCATTGCTGTTCCTTTCTTGTTCATTTTAACCATTTTGGTGGCTGTATAGTGGTAGCACTCTGATTTTAATTTGAATTTCCCTGACACTACTGAGGTTAAGCATCTTTTCAAATGTTTACTGGCCACTTGCGCATCTTCTTTTGTGAAACGCTCATTCAGTGTATTAGGCCATTTTTCTGCTGATTGTCTGCCATCATCTCACTGATTTGTGGGAATTCTTGAGATTTTCTCAATGAGGCCTCAGTTTGACATGTGTAGTGCAGATATCTTCTCCTGTTCTTTGGATTGCCTTCGTAATGGGGCCTTTTAATGAACACGTGTTCTTAATTTTAATGAAATCGAGTGTATGTCCTTTTTTCCTTTACGGTTGGTACCTTTTTGTGAGCTTTTAAAAAATCTTTACCTAGGGGCCAGCCCCGTGGCTGAGTGGTTAATTCTGAGCGCTCGGCCTCGGCAGCCCAGGGTTCCGCTGATTGGGATCCTGGGTGTGGACATGGCACTGCTGGTCAGGCCATACGGAGGCGGCATCCCACATGGCACAACTAGAAGGACCCACAACTAAAAATCTACAACTATGTACTGGGGGGCTTTGGGGAGAAAAAGGAAAAGTAAAATCTTTAAAAAAAAAAATCTTTACCTAAAGTCATGAGGGTATTTGCCAGTTTTTTTTTTTCTCTAAAATCTTAATTATTTTAAGATCTACAATACTTTGGAGTTCCTTTTGGTGTATAGGTCTGGTAGAAAGCAAGATTCTTTTTTATACCATGTAGATATCTGGTGATCGAGACCATGGTTTTCCTGTTGCACACTCTATTGCAGTACCTTACTTCAAATTATGTCCCCTTTGTCATAAATCATGTCTGTTTCTGAATTCTCTTATCTGTTCTGGGGTGCCTGTTTATCTTGCTGTTGGTTTTGGCTGTCATATTGTCCCCTGTAGCTTTATAATGTCTTGATATCTGATAGTGCAAACCATCTAGATTTGTTCTTATTCTGAGCCCTTTGCATTTCCATATAAATGTTAGAATCAGTTTATCAATTTTGTAAAAAGAAACCCATACACGTTAGGATTTTTATTAGATTGTATTGAATCCATAGATCACTTTGGGAAGAATTGTCATCTTTGAAATAATTGAACTTTCCAAACCATGTATGTGGTATATTTTTTCATTTAATTGCATGCTTTAAAATTTTTCTCAATAATGTTTTATGGTTTTCAGCGTAGGGGTCTCATTCATCTTTTGTCAGATTTGGTATTAAATCTTTAATATTAATTAATGCCACTGTAAATGACTTTTTAAAATTTTATTTAAGAATTTTTATTACTAATTTATAGAAATAAAATTATTTTTTACATTGACCTGTGCGCAGCAATCTTGGTAAATTCACTTCTTTCTAGTAGTTAATTGCTTCTCTTGGATTTTTTGTGTTCAGAAGTATATTGCCTGGAAATAATGAGAGCTTCTTTCTGTTCAGCCCTTATGCTTTTTATTTTGTTTTCTTGCATCATCGCACTGGTTAGGACATCTAGTATAACCTTGATAGAAATGATAGTGGGCATCTTTGTCTTCTTTGCCATCTCAGGAGAAAAGCTTTCAGTAATTCACCGTCAAGTATGCTGTTTGCTCAAGACTCATTGGAGATGACCTCTATCAGAATTAGACAGGTCCCTTCGATTCCTAGTTTGGTAAGTTTTTTCCTTTTTAAATCGCGGATTGGTGTTGAATGATGTCAGTTGCTTTTTTTTTTCTTTCTGTTGAAATCATATGATTTCCTCTCCCTTTTAAAAAGGACTTTTGCATTCATGTTCATGAAAGATTGGTCTGTAATTTTCGTTTCTTATAATGTCTTTGTCAAGTTTTGATGCTATTGTTATCTTGATCTCGGAAAATAGATTGAGAAGGTTAATTCTTTTCTTTTCCCTGGCAGAGTTTAATGTGAGCTTTCTGTTGTTTCCCCCTTAAATGTTTGGAAGAATTCACCAGTGAGACTGTCTGGGCTTGGAGTTTCCTTTGAAGGAAGGTTTCAATAAGGGATTCATTTTCTTTCATAGACAAAGTAGGATTCAGATTTTTAATTTTTTCTTGATTTAGCTGAATATGTTTTGTTCTTAAGAAATTTGTACTTTTCATTTAAATCATCAAATTTATTAGTGAAAAGTTATTTGTGAGATGTTTTTATTTTCTTGTTAACATCCGTAAGATCTATAGCCATTTTCTCCTTATCCCCACTTGATATTGTCAATTTGTATTTTCTAATTTTTTTCTCTTTATCAGTCTTGCTGCGAGTTTATCAATCTTATTAATCTTTTCAAAGATCAAACTTTTGCCTTTGTTGAATTTCTGTATTGTACATTTGATTTCTATTTCACTGATTTTGTTCTTTTTAAAAATTTTCCTTCCTTCTGCTTTCTTTGGATTTGATTTTCTATTCTTTTTCTAGCTTCTTCATAACTCACTTGAGGCTATAATTTCATTGTAAACTCCTGTTATAGGTGCATCTCACAAATTCTCAGAGGTCGTATCTTAATTATCATTCAGTTAGACATATTTTCAAATTTCTGATGTGATTTATTCTTTATTCAGTGGATTATCTGAAGTGTATTGTTCAATTTCCGGGCAGTCGAAGATCCTCTAGTTAAATATTTCTTATTGATTTATTGCTTAATTCCCTTGTGTTCAGAGAATATATTCTGAATGGTTATGATTACTTGAAGTTTGCTTTATGACTCAGCATGTGGTCAGCTGTGGTGAATGTTCCGTGTGCATTTACAATGAAGTTGTCTGTTGTCTTTGTTGGTGCAGTGTTCTATATGTCGTCAAATTTGTTAATTGTGTTCAGATCTTCTGTAGCCCTAATGATTTGATTCTTTGGGGAGGATTGGGGTTTCTGATTGTTCTATAACTGTCGAGTGTGGTGTAGTTAAGGCTCCAACATGGTTTTGAATTTGTCTGTTTCTTCTTTTAGTTCTCAATTTTTGCTTTACATATTTTGAAGCTCTGTTATTGAGTACGCACCAATTTACAGTTATTTCTTGCTAATGGATTGATGCCTTTATAATTATGAATGTCCTTTTTTTAATCTCTGGTAATACTTCTTGCCTTAAAGTCTACTTTGTCTTATATTAGTATAGCTTCATCAGTTTTTTTTGAGGAAGATTAGCCCTGAGCTGCCAATTGTCCTTTTTTTTTTTTTTGCTGAGGAAGACTGGTCCTGAGCTAGCATCCATGCCCATCTTCCTCTGCTTTCTGTGTGGGATGCCTACCACAGCATGGCTTGTCAAAGAGTGCCATGTCTGCACCCGGGATCTGAACCAGCAGACCCCAGGCTGCTGAAGCGGAAGGTGTGCACTTAACTGCTGCACCACCGGGCCGGCCCCAGTTTTTCTTTTTTTTCATAAGTGTTTGCACGGTATGTCTTTTTATGTTAAAACAACTTTTTTTAAAAAAACTATTTTTTGGCCTTGTATTTAAAGTGTTTCTTTTGTATGCAGCATATAAATGGGTTCAGTGTTTAGGTTTCTAAAATGCACTCTGATAACCTTAGTTTTCAACTGGAGTATTTGGCCCATTTTCATGTAATGTAATTAATGACCGGCATTCATATCTATCACCTACTATTTGTATTCTATTTTACACACTCTTTTGACCTGACACTTATCTCTACTTTTATTAGCAAACTTTTAGTGGTTACCTTAGGGATTACAAATCTGTATCCTTACTTTATTACAGTGTAAAACAATTTATTACTTAGTTCACTTTCCTTCCTCTTTCTTAGAAAACGTTAATTCCACTTGCCCCTCCCACTTTTTATGTTACTGTTGATATACATGTTAATTCTAGACATGTATAAGACTCAGAAGACCTTAATGTTATTATTAATCAGTATTCATTTATATTTACCCACATTTTTACCTTTACCTTTATTTTTCATGTCTGTGTTCTGTTAGGGATCGTTTTTCTTCAACCTGAAGAATTCTCTTCCTCCTTTTCCTCCTCTCCTTCTCCTCCCAATTCTTTTAGTATGGTTCTGCTGTCAGTGTAGTCTCTCATTGTTTATGGGTCCAAAAACATCTTTGTTTTGTCTTTGCTTTTGAAGAATATTTCCACTTGTATAGAATTTTTGGTTGACACTTACTTTCTTCTAGCATTTTTTGTATGTTTGGTGAGGAAGATTGTTGCTGAGCTAACATCTGTGCCAATCTTCCTCTGTTTTATGTGGGACGCCACCACAGCTTGACTTGACAAGCAGTGCTAGGTCTGCACCCAGGATTCGAACCATGGAACATGGGGCTGGCTCCTCTTTTAGCATTTTAATGTTGTCATTCCATTGTCTTCTGGCTTTCATTGTTCTTGTTGGAAGTCAGCTTTCTGTCTTATTGTGGCTCTTTGCCAGTAATTTCTCTCCCTTTCCCTTGGCTACTTTTAAGATTTTTCTCTTTCTCTTTATTATATTAGCGCTCTTATTATGATGTGCCTAGATGTGGATTGATTAATATTCATCTTATTTAGAGCTCAGAGAGCTTGTTTTATTTAAATAAACTTTTTACCAAATTTCAGCATATATACATAAAAGTGCATACAATGTAAGTGTTCAGTTTAATGAGTTTTCACAAAGTAAACACAGCTGTGTATCTAGCAATGCTATTAAGAAACAGAAACACACCTCAGAAGCTCTTTCTTATATCTCCTTCTAGACATTATCTTCCAAAAGTAACAACTATGTTGACTTCCAGCGCTGTAGGTTAGTTTGCCTATTCTTGGTTGTTTGGTATGTGTTCCTGTTTCTGTCTCTATTCGATCAACATGTGTGTGGGATTCACCCACATCAACGCGCATATTTACAGTTGGGTCATTCTCATTGCTGCATGCTGCTTTTTCATTCTATTGGATGACTGTACCATAATTTATCCATTCTACTTTTGATGAACATTTTGTTATTAGAAATGTACTATGAAAATCCTCATATATGTCCTCTATTTAATATTTGTGTGCATTTCTGTTCTAGGAATGTTGTTGTTAGCTATTAGGATATGCATCTGTTCAGCTTTAGTAAATATTCACAGAGCTTTGAGAATCTGTAGTTTGATGTCTTTGATCAGTTTGGGGAAATTTTTGACAATTTTCTCTTCAAACATTGTTTTTTACTATTTCTCTCACTCTTTTTCTTTTTGGGACCCCATTTACATTTTGCATCTTTTCATTGTGTACTGCATATCTTTTATGCCCTTTTTCTGTGTTTCCCATCCTTCCTCTCTGTTGCTTCAGTTTGGATATTTTGTTTTCTTAGTCTTGTCATCCCGATTACTGCAGCATCAGTCTGCTGTTAAACCCATCTCTCAGAGGGCTTCTTATATTGTGTTGTTCAGGTTTTGAATTTCCATTTGGTTCTTTTTATATATGCTAAGTATCTGATGCTATTCTCATTTTGATTTTCACATCCTCTCCTTAATTTTCTTGACGGTATTTATCATAGTTATTTTAAAATCCTTGGCTATTAGCTCCAATCTCTGTATCACCTATGGGTCTATTGTGGTTTTTGGCCAAGTTATCTTCTCTCTTATCAAGCATAATAATTTTTGATTGAATGCCAGATATTGTGTGTGAAAAGTTTTAGAGGCTCTAAATGTTCCAAGTTGATATTATGTTCCTCTGGAGAAGATTTACTGTTTCCTTTGCGAGGCAGAAAAACTTGGAGATTGGTCTCCTTAATATAGCTGTGTTGAAGTTGGGTTATAGATTCTGTAGATCTCAATCTGTCTCCAGTTGGTTCCTGTTCCTTAGGTCTACCCCTCCAGGTGTTTACTGAGAGTCTGTTGTGTTCACCTCTTCTCCTTGTTGAGTCTTTCATTCTGGTCGTTGCCTTCACAGTTCTGTGAGACTTTAGAAAACTCTACGTTGCTTACAGATACTTATCACTTGGCTTTTTCCCTTTTCACCTTACTACATTCCAGGATGAAGTGAGTCATGTGGTTGAGAGCCTTTGACTCTCCAATTTTGACCCTGTAGCCTCACAAGGTCACATAAGCTCCATCATGGACCTTCACGTGTGCAAATATAACCAGGAAAGTGTTGATGCAGATTAACAACTCACCTCTCTGTTTTTCGTTTCTTTTTGTGATCTTAACCTTTCTAGTTCTCATTACTTTCATATGTCTCTGATGCTTTTATCAGGTTAGTATTTTATTTAGCTTTTCTTGATGTTATTCAAGGAAGTATTGGTCTGCCATAAACTATTTCCTTCCACTTGGATGTCCTCAATAAATGTTTATTTGCAAAGTTGAACGGCTTTTAGAAGTACAGGGTGTTGCAGGTGTGACCTATGACTGTAATTCAACCCTTTAACTACTAAATTTGATTTAATAAGTGAATGCAAAGTATTAGGAATTAAAGAATGGCTACATATGCCCTTTGGAGGAATAACTCAAATTTGATAGAGGATCTTTAAGGTATTTCATTAGAGTAAAGAAACATGCATTATTTTTAGTTTTTTAGCTTCTATTGATTTTAAAGCAGTCACAAAACTCTTAATATTCATATAATTAGTGTGCTGTGAGAGCATCTTATTTTTTTCTCCAAGACAGCAGTTTATTTCTGAGAGCCTGGATACCTTAGAAAGACAGATTTTGGAGAGACAAAGGTAAAACCTTAATGGTTCAGGAGAAGTATTAGGGAATGCTTTTTTAGT